GATGTCAACGGTTTCTGAGTCCCTTGACAAAAAATATGCTGATACGTTATTTGTGTGACTGCAATTGTGTTTGAATTGATAATTTATTGACATCCTTCCAGTTACCTTGCCGAGACTCTTCCAGTTGATCTGTTTTACTGTAGACACTTTTCCACACTTTTCATTGGACTCTTCCTATATTATCTGTCAAAACTAAGATCTTCATTGGTCAGTGTACATACAAAGTACTATTGACTACATAAAATTTCATTACAAGAATTGCAACTCAATCTGTTTTTGCTTTTATGCATATAATGTTCCAACCGGAGCGGTATTGGCTAACTGAACAATGATCATTAACCTTATGCTTCAGCATCAAACAGTTGACTTCATTCAAAAATACTTTAGCATACAGCTATAGTAATTCAGTGGAGTATTTACCGTATTTCTTAATGCATGAATAAGTTTTGTGCCACTCGTAAATGCGCGATGTGGATGACTTGGTGATCGGCATCGTGTTGTTATCTTCTCGTCACTTTTCAGAATTTTGATTGCATCTGCTGCCATCAACACGGCATCAAACATCAATGCTGACTCTGACTGCAAATTAATCTTTTTTGTGTCATTGAACGGCCTTGATGATGCGAAACAAAACAAACAAATATTTATTCTCAATGATATGAGGAGAATGCTTGTCGAACAAATGCGGTGACAATAACTATGAAAAAAAATGCCGATGGGCAGATTGTTGGATGAGGATCTCGGCAGATTTGAGAAAAAGTTTTCACGCAATCAGAATACTATTTAAAGATGGATTTAAGAAGAGTTAATTCTTAACTTACAGTACGAATATTTCGATTTGCGTATGTGCAATGTGTGCATCTTTCAGTGATGTATGTAACGAATGAAGAGTAATTGAAGGCATTCGCCTGTTCCGCGATAAACTTTGGATCGGTCGTGTCAACAGCGATGAAACGCGCATGATTGTGCCGGAACAATTCCATATCAAGCGTTCTCATATCCTGTAGAAAAACATTTCATGCGAAAATATTGGACTAGAGAATTACGGAAAAAATTTCTTAGAACGTGAAGAAATTTTTGCACTCACTAATGTGCACCTTTCATCAGAATTCTTGACTGCAGAAAGATTCAGAATCGAAAGAAGAAATGCGCACGCTATAAGAATTGCCAGGAAGCTTACTATTGATGTGAACATAAACCAGTGTTTCAGTTCGATTAATCCCACTTGAAGGGCCTGAAAAATTAAAAAGTCGAATCTCATGAGCATAGCCAATAGGGATGAATGAGCACAACGGGCGCCATCCCCTCCCGCTCTTTCACTGCAGTTTGGAAAAAATGAAAAATAAGAGGGAGCAGAGAAGAAGAAGGAGGAAAGGGAAAGAAGAAAAAATAAACGTCGAAAAATCCATCCCAAAATTCAGATACTTTCTGCAACCAG